TATATATTTATATATATTTATATTTATCTCTGATAAATTCTTTTTATTTGATTGTGTTCGATATTACAAAAAATTAATGCTTCATCATTAAAGAGAATAATCTATTATTACAGAGTAGAAGTGGATTGCCGCAAAATTCAGAAGATTAAATTATAATATACCAAACCATTAATATATATAATGTATATAAAGTTACTCACTTTTCATCAGCAACCTTCTGACATTCCTTCATATATTTGTCCATAACTGATGGCATAACGTTATCGATGAGTGTCTTTAATCTGCAAAATATTAATGAATTTTACCAAATTCAGAATTAAAAAAATACAAAAAAAATAATTAATATATTATAAATAAAATAAACATAATATACATTATATGTATGCAATTACTAAAGTCATTAACATAATTACTTTTGCATCGGTTCGTTTACTCTATGTTCGGCGTCTTTCAGATAAAGCTTTTTAGCTCTGCTGAGAAGAGTAATTTTACTACAAGGTAAAAATCGCACTAGATGTCCGTAGGTTTGTAATCTTACGCTAGGTGAATTTAACATTCGTAATTTTTTCTCTAAACTGTAATAAAAGTAACAGATTTTAGAGTAATTTTCATAATTTGGTAATTCATAATTTAAACGGTTAATAATACCGACTTACGTAAAGAGCACTTCGTTAATCGCGCTATTGAAGAACTTGCTCTTGCCGTCTTTGTTATTCTCCGCTTGAAGCTTTAATTTATTCACTATTTCTCTTATATCCTCGGGTAGATTTTCCGGCAAAGACGCTTCTTTATTCTCCATCTCTTCCCCATCAGATTCAACGTAAAGGCAAACGCGAGATTTCCCTGAATCAGTTGTATCACGACTTGAGTCATCTTCGATTCCTCTAGCTGCATTAACGACGCTCTCTATTGCATCGTCGATGTTGCTGTCTTTAGCATCTAATCGTTTTAGATCTATCTTCTTCGCGTCATATCCATTACTATTGGATGATTTTTTCTCGAACTTCTTGATATCGAACTTTTTGTCACTTATTTTATTTTTCTCTGGTTTATCAGACTTTTTCTTCTCCTCTTGATCTTCCGAAGCTGAAATTGTAAAATTATTATTACATAATGCCTAAATCTGTATATTTTTAATAACTTTAATAACTTGTTAAAACTATAAAAAACAAGAGCAAAAAACATATTACCTGTACCTCCTTCAGCATCTGTTTCATTTTTCTCCTTTCGTCTCAAAAGATCCAGATCTTGTTGAGAGTTTTGTTGTGCTTCCTGTGCCTGATGATTTTGCTTTTTCCTCTTTTTGCCATTCTCGTGATTAATTTTTTTCTCACCATTTTCTTCAATTTTCCGTCTCTATCAATGCATATTACATTAAATACAGTAACACACAGAAAGACGAAACAATATCATATATTTAAAAATCATTACTTTTCGCGGATTATCACCAGTAATATCCTCCGTCTCATCGTCATCCGAGGAGCTAATGATTCGTTTATCTATTCTTTTAGGACTATCTACATCTTCGGTATCTTCCTCACTACTTTCACTACTCTCATCGTCATCACTATTGTTATTATTATTATTGTTATGGACTAATGAACGTCTATCAGCAGCTCTGAACTCGAGAGCTCCGCAATTAATGTAGAAACCTCCGTGCGCTGTGGTCATCTCTTCGGGTACAATTTCATCATACTATCGATAAAATATTAAGATTAAAAATGACATCTTCGATAATATTTTCCCATATAAAAAAAAAAGAAACTTCACGTACAGCGTCAGTATTGTCGATAAAGGAGTCGTTTTCATCATATCCTGCGCCCAAGTCTACATAATCGTCGTACTTGTGTCTTTTCTTCCCCGTGGTGGATGTACCCTAACACAATGAGAAACAATTAACATTTGCAAATTTCATACCGAGATCAATCAATTTCATTACATACATATTTCGCCTCGAATCGTCTGGCCATGTCTCTAAGCTTATCCTCGTCATCGTCATCATCGAACGGATCCAGTCCATTGGTCGCATTCTCATCTCCCCTCTTTTGTTCTTTCCTTCGCTTTTTCTGCAAAGTAAATGGATCAATTTATATCCGATCGAGTAGATACGCGCCGAAACGTCCTATTGCACGTTTATTGGCGAACCGACCTAATAATCTACAATCAAATCGCTCTCCATCTCGCTTTGCTCCGTACCACTTTCACTAATTTATAAAAAATTCAGATCGATCAAAGAGAATAGACCGTATCTACGCGTGACCATGTACACGCTCTCGAATCCGGTTTAAACGCATTTAGAATCAACATTTTTACAATCAACATTTGCCACATTTATCATCAATAAAACTTTATTTCGAGAATACTATTCTTTCTCATGTATAGAATTCGGAATACATTTTTACTTTTTATCGCATCACGAAAATATATTTTTATTGTGTTTCCTAGATAGATAAAAAAAATTACTAAAACCTATTTAATCGTTCAGTCATGAGTCACCGTAAATTTTTATACAGAAATAAAGGCTTCTACAACGGTTTTTCACATAAAAAGACCAAGAAAAAACTTGATGTTTAATTCATTCAGTCATTTAAGTTTTCATATATCAGTCTGAGTTTTTTTTTTCCCTCCGAGACGTTTACAAAATCATTACGTTTTGAATAGCGAAAAGGATTAATCTCCTCAGGAATTCACTTTAAATCAATATAATCCAAATTAAAATTTTTTTAATTTTAATGGAATCAATCAATAAAATAAATACATTTTAAATCATTTTTTTATCAATCTCAGAAACTTCAACAATAAAATGTTTTAAAGTATAAAGTCAAAATTCAAAATCTGTCCGGATCAGTATGACTCGCGAATTCCCGAAGGTTAAAGGAGATAAAAATTAAAAAAAATGCGAGATATCTCTGGTAAAAGGAACAGGCGAAAATCAACTTCAAATGGTGTCTACGACGGGACTGGACGTGTCTATCAATACCAGGAGCGCATAGAACAACCGGAGCAACGTCCTTGCGATTTCGCGCTCTTTGCGTCGCGTCGCGTCGCCGAACCACCTCCTATGAGCTCCTGCTCCCCTAGTAAAAGGACGCTGAATCGAGTGATTGATCCTGCCTGCGATGCGATTATTGACGATAGATTGATTCTCTTTTTTTTTTCTACGCAACTATCTTGATCAAATTAGCTGTGTTAATCGATCAATTAATTAGTCGATCAATCGATGAGATACAACACGCGAATCTACACGTTATTGTTTTTCTCACGTTCCGCAGCTCGCGGTTTATTATTGGAAATCTTAATAAGAAAAATATAGGGCAGCCCAATAAAATGCGATATAGAATTTCACTGCTTGAATTAAAAAATTCGAAGTGAAAATGTGCTGTACGATCTTTCGGTAGCGTGCCATATGATCGAAATCATGAAATAATAAAAGAAAAAAAGAGAATATAATCAACAGTGAAAAAAAATGTGCTTATTAAATATAGACAAGGAGAAAATAAAACGCGTCCGATTTTCATGAACATCGCTATTTTGCATTCACAATCGCGCGATAAGCTATGTCGAATAATTTCATAGGTGGCCGTCGATCGATTTCACAATTGCGGCTTTTCAAACTGCGCGCTCCGCTTTTCCGAAATTTGATTCGCCGGCGAACGCCGTGTCACGTTTTCGAAACACGTGCGTAACCAAAACAAAGTTGCAAGCCGCACGTAATAGCGCAGCTATCGATGAAAATGAGCGACGTGGCTAAAAAGTCGATGAAAAGAGAGAAAAAATACGAACGCAAATTCATCGTTTTTAAGTCTCCGGCCTTAACCCCGTCGCGTTTCAAATGAAATGTAAACGCAATTTTTACGTAAACGTATCGGTATTACGAATGCAGCGTATGATTAGGTGCATAAATATCCATATCTGAAGATAAAATATCTCCACGTGAGGATACACGGATATTGCGGCAATCGAAACCACAGGAGGAAAAAGGAACGAATTGGTCAATAAATTTACCGCGTGTCCTTTTTTTTCCCACAGGAACGTATCTCGCCGCCAATTATTCGCCAATTATCGGAGAAAGAGGCAGATTAGATTAGACCGGAGAGTTTATTTATTTATTACATTACACATTTATATCGCGCGGAAGGAGAGAGGGGATGGGAGGCGAGAACGCGTGACATATGTCGCGAGTGGCGTCCTCGATACGTGTCGGCGGTCACGAGTCTCCTCCGGTGCATCGATCTACAATTGAGAAAGGAGAGCCCGCAGCACGCTCTCTCGCGCGCGTGAAATAAGAGAGTTCCGCGCGCACGACGCACACATTCGCGCGGTGTGTCTCTCTCTCTCTCTCTCTCTGTCCTCCCTTCCCGGCGCGTTTTCTCTGCATCCTTCTCCCCCATGCACTTAACGCACCGGACGACGGCGTACGTGGCTTGCGAAATAGCTAACGTAGACGGTGCACACACGAATAAGGCATCGCCACCGTTCCTATCTCGTTCTTTCTCTCTCTCTCTCTCTCTCTTTCCTTCGAGAAGGAAGAGAGCGGAGACGCAGCGGGTGAGAAAGAGAAGGGAAGAAAGACGAAGACGGACGAAACGCCGAACGGTCGCGCAATGGCAACTCTCGTACGGACGTTTTACGAGCAGAAGGGACGCGCACGAAGGACGCCGCAATTCTCCGAGAGAAGAGAGACAGAAAAGAGAGAGAGAGAGAGAAACGGCATGCACCTTGAAGACGCGGATTCCGACTGTCGCGCGTTCGCTTCGTGACGATGACAACGCACGGATCCGATCCGGCGGAGGACTTCGAATCGATCAAAGAACCATTCTCGCCCGTCTCGTTTTCGCCACCGCCGCCGTCGCCGTTATTATCACTATCGTCGTCGTCATGGTCGTCTATCGTTCTTACGTGCAGATGGACAGACGAATTCGGTGCGCGCGCGGCGACGGCGACGGCGACGGCGACGGCGACGGCGACGACGACGACGCGAGCCGCGTGACAATCGCACGAGCGATGCGCGGTCACTTCGTCAAAGGTACCTCACGGTTTTTCAACGTCGACATCCCGTCGCGATAGACACACGCGTTGTCTTCTCTCTTTCTCTCTTCCCTCGCCCCTCTTCTACGCACGCACTCGCACTCTTTTTCTTTTTATTCTCTTTATCTCTCCCCTCCTCTCTCTCTCTCTTTCATCTTTCCGTATGTCGCGTGTATATTACGGGCCTGACATACGGTCTTTTGTTTTCCCCTCCCCCGCCGGGAGCGGGTTAATCGCGCGGTGGCTCACCTCCGCCGATTTGAGGAGCTGCGCATAGTTGAACTCCGGGCATGTCTTCTCGTTCGACTCGGGCAGGGTGAGCGTGAAGCGGAAGGAGGGCGCGAGCTGCTTGCCCATGTTCCCCTTTTTCTCCTTCTTCGTCGCGTGGCCCAGGGACTCCGGGAACTCCAGGGTCTGCAGGGGTACCCGTTTCGCCTCTGACATTCCTTTTACATTTGCACCGAGCCTAACGCGGATCACGGAAACACTGCGGGCACTGCGACCGCGGCGGCAACATGATACACCTCCTCCTCGCGCTCTCTCTCTCTCCTCGATTAAACACCGCGCGGACGCCGCCGCTCACACGTCGCCATCTTCGGCACGACTGTTTTTAGAGTGCGCCACGGACGCGCCGCGAGGTCTGGCGCGCGGTTGCGCCGAGATCACCGTCTCGTTCGGCCGCTGCGGCCGCGTTTACAATGGCGCGCGTTCCCCCATTCGTCGAAGCCGAGTCCGTCCCGTGGCGTGGAGTTGCACCAATCTCGGATGCGTTCGCCGTAGGCGTATCTGGATATGTACTTGCCCTGTGCATTGTGATCCGTTTCTCGCACGTGCTGGCCAGTGTTCGCACGTTTCTCGGAAACGAGACGTCACTTGAGTCGATATTTTGTAAGTTTATATCTAATTTTTTAACCTTCTAATCTTGATTTAACTTATCTTTTATCTTTTAAAATTCCAAGAATTGGAAGTAGATAGCGAATTAAACCGAATCAAAGTTAATCTACATTGATTTCAATGAACAATAATGACAGTATTGTTATTTTCATATTGTTGCGCAGGTATAATAAGACCTATAATGTTCTATTTGACGCTTTTTTTTTAAATCGTTTTATTTTTACCTACGTTCATTATCGGTACTAAAAATTTATAATATATGTGACGTAAATTGTACGTATATTTCCAATAATACTAGCAAAGAACTTAAAGATACGGCTGTCAACTTTAAATTCGTTGCGTATTAAAAAATAATATGATAAAGTTAAATACCAAATTAAGCAATTAATAAGAAAATTAATTATACACTAAACACAAGACTAGAGATAAATGAGTAAAAGTTTATTGTATCAAATTCTTTAAAGGTTAGAATGATATCAAAAGAATTTTATATAAAATTTTTATTAAAAA